ATTACAGCATACTGTTATATTATATTGCATATTATTACATATACTACAACAATATATTGTATACTATAATAGTATACTGTTGCAGTATATATACTCCTATAGTATATTGTATACTGTAGCAGTATACTGTTAGGTAACTGTGTTCTTCTTCGATTATTACAATATACTGTTGTAGTATATTATATACTATAACAGTATACTATTGTAGTATAGCTATATACTTCTACAACATATTGTATACCATAGTAGTATACTGTTGGATAACTGTGTTCTTTTTCGATTTTCAGCTAAAATTTCTATCTCGATAACTTCAACTCAGCTCCAACTGTGATCAAATTTCAGTATGAATTTCCAAAAGGTACTATAAGAAATATTTAATAGCAACAGAATCATAATTAAATTTTTTCGGAAAATGACTCGAACTAGAATAATTAGCGACGAGAAAATATAAATGTATAGGGAGGGAGAGAGCACTTTGTGGCGATGAAAGGTATTCAATAAGCGATGATTTCATTCAGCAAGAGAAAATTAAACTACATGCGTGTAGTGAGTTAATTGAATCATAATTTATAGATATTGAGCAAATATATTTTTCTGTACACTCAAAATCATCACATAACTAAAAAAAAAACTGCTACTCCTTGCTCCCATTAATTATCAATATTTTACTTTGTGAATATTATAAAAATATAGCCTATAAGATAAACGATTTGACTTATAAAAATAGAAGTAAGAACAAAGAGAGAAAATCGATGAAGAGAGAAATAAAGTATTTCTTACTTTGGATTGAAGGAAGAAAGGTCCCGTATAGGTTAGGTATAGATTCGTTGCCCCCGAAGCCTTTAAAGACTTTCTTAATGGATGGACGGGTAATAATTTTATGTGGAGTAGGTATGTATAGTAATTATTATCCAAGTGGGTATAACCGGGTAATTAGTTTTAGCTTAATAGGCAGACTCCATAAATTCCTCTAGTCTAAATAGGTGTAACAAAAAATGGGCCCCCCCACAAATATGGGGCTTAAAACGGTTGCTTTACTTACTTTATGAAAGGACCACCCATGAGTTTGGTAGATAATTTATTTTTAGTTTTATACATAAAGTGAATCGTACTGAGTCACTTTAGATTGAAACAATGGCCCATTTGAAACATGGGATCTTTACCCAAATAGCCGCCCACCAAAATGCTTAAACAAAAAATAGTTATATATATGCATAAGTTATATATTATACGTGTATAATTATGTATAATCGACGTAGAAATTATGTATACGGTTAGAAAAAGTAAATAATAAATATGATGGGCTATTTGCGTAAAATTCCTTGAAACATAAGCTTTGTAAAGCCCAATCAATTTGGGTTTGACTTGCAAGCTGCCTCGTGCTACAAACAATATTTTATACATGCTTGTTAGGGAAGGTTCATTCACCTCTTCACTTTCCTTTTTCTCTTTGATCCTTTGAATTTAACACTTGTCCCCGTAACACTCCCCGTATTATGGTGTCACACTAAAATCCCAAAAAAAGAACAACTTTCCTTAAAATTTTAGAAAACTTGAAGAATTGATCGAATTACATAGAACATGCATGGCACAGGGAACAGTGTAGTAGCATAGGTCAGAGTCGTGCTCTTTGGAGTAGAATTCTGACAAGGAGTAGGCATATCAAAGCTAATCATGAGACAACTGATTCACTTCTTCTATTCAGAAGAATCATAAAGAGACGAGTCCAGAATTAAAATGTGGTTCTTTTGCACTCAAAATACTTTTTTAGGTGAAAAAAAAAGTTACCATTCTATATAAAACGCGGTTATGAACCGAGTTTTACCTTAACCACTACTAGAAATCCAGCGATTTCCCACGGAAGAATCGGTGGGAAATCCGTGGAAAATTTCAATATTCCCACGAATTTCCCAGGGGAGAAGCTCGGTGGAAAATTGGCTGGTGGGAAAATAGTTTCCCACGACATTCGTGGGTAATTCCCAGTGAGTTTCCCACTGGGGGTTTGGTGGTTTCACCTAGTGTAATTTCCCACGAATGCCGTGGGAAAAGTAATAAAAAA